GAAATCTAAACAAGTAAAAATTCAAACAATTTTGTGTCTAACAAATACCAAGTCACTGAACAATAGCCGGCCTAGGCCAAGTTGATGATTGTAATTAAGGGGTTAAAGCAAATCATCAATAGATATTAATCCTTTAATCATGGTTCTTGCTTAATTAAGCATTTTTAGATATTATGGACCACAATATTCGTCTTTTTTCACAACTTAGGAACCTTAAGGTTGATTGGAAAATTCATATGGCCCCAAATTAAAGTTCTAAACTTAATGATGCTAACTACAACACTTTTCAAGGAGTCCTATATAGGGCAGATCGTTGAAATACATTATGAAGTGGCCTCCACAAAACATGTCAAAAATTGTGTAAAAAAATTAGTGTAACAAATCCGTCCCCATATATATATATATGTGTGTGTGTATGTATGTACATACATACATACATACATATTCCTTTTTTCCAAAATATAAACAATGAGAGAAACATAAACAAAGAAATAGACAACCACAGATTTATAAATGATAGAGAAAAAGAAAACATTTAGAAATGAGCCAACAGAAAAAGGTCCACATCGAATTTTATATTTGGAATTTGGCAGCACTAAAAAAATATTCGAAAAACAGTTTATTTTTTACTATAAGTTGGCACCATCGACAATCTCTAAAGGTTGCACAACAACTTTCAAAAACCTCACAAAGCTCGTCTTCAAGCACCACAGAAGCCATGGCTGTAGACCACCTATCCTGTGACCATGCAGACGACGACTACATCGACATGGATGTCGGTTCGTACTCTGCCTTCCTCAACCATTCCATGAGCTCTCCTCCACACCCCAGAGAGTTTGAGTTTCAAATGTCATCCACTTCTTTGGAGAGAGATCCCCCCACAACTTCTCCAGCTGATGAGCTCTTTTACAAAGGGAAGCTCCTTCCCCTCCACCTCCCCCCGCGCTTACAAATGGTCGAGAAACTACTGCAGAACTCCTATTCTAGTTTTGATCACCAAAAAGATATGTTTGAAGAATTCTATAGCACTCCATTGGCCACCACTGCCCCAACTCCAACCACAACCAGCACCCCATTTGAGTCCTGCAATATATCGCCTTCGGAGTCTTGCCAGGTTAGTAGGGAGCTGAACCCCGAAGAGTATATTTTGGAGTACTCAACTGAAGTGAGCGGCTTCATAAATGAAAACCCGAAAAAGTCTTGGACCAAAAAGTTCAGGCAGTCATTGCTTAGTTCAAAGCTGAAGTCTTCCCGGGCTTACCTCAAGTCTCTGTTTGGCAAATACAGTTGCTCCAATGAGTCCAGTGCAGCTGCTGCCAGGCATGCACATGGAGGAATGGTTTTCAAATCTGAGGATTTAAGTAAATATATGAAGACATCCAAGAACCCATTTGGACACACTCAGAGGGAGAAATACCGAATGTCTGCCTCTGGCGCGAGGAGCTTCAGCAAAGACAAGATCATTGAGGATGGTGCTGCTCTCCACAGGAGATCATTCTCACTGGCCATCAAACGGAATTCAACGAAGATCTCGACATCCTCTTCATCATCTTCGGGCTCTTCATCTTCTTCTTCATCATCTTCAAATCATTCAAGTGGGACTCAGGAGCTGCAGTTTCTGAAGAGATGCAACAGTGCAAGTTCCGAAATTGAGAGTTCAATTCAGGGGGCAATTGCACATTGCAAGCAGTCGCAGCAACCTTTCCGTTCAAGAAAGACAGTAAGTGAAGTTGGGTTCTACTCGTTGTCAGCTTCCAGGATAGCAGTTTGCGAGGATCAAGAAAGACCGGAGCTTTGCAGGGGCTGAAGGGGATCTCAGTGAGTGAGAGGGGGGATGGCAAAGTACAAACTTTTGACTTGTGTTAGTGATGTGCTCTTTCTTTCCTTCTTTCACAAATTGATATATGGATATGCTTTGATTCAGTGCAAGGCTGTCAGAAACTCTGTCATGGCAAGATATCCTATGGAAGAAGTTTTGATTAAGTTAAATTGAGCGCAAACAAATAAGGATTAACCAACACAAATTTCGAACCTTCAAATCAGCAAGCATTTAACAATTTTGATTTACTGATGTCTTTTAAATCACCTGATACTTTCTAGTAATCATTTTCTTAGACAGGACGTCATGCTTTTCCCTATTCCTGACAACTGTTTCACTTCCAGCAAATTCCGTAGCTCTAGACTTCAACTAGCTAAGTTTTGAATCTACGATAGCTATCTTTTAAGATGTCATAAACAAGTGAATTGGGAAAGAAAAGTTCGGGATAATATCCGCGTCAACAGTCTTCATCAACCCTGATTTTATTCAAGGAGTCACCCAATGGACCATGAATCAATGAACAAAAATAAATAAATGAATCTTCTCATCATCATATATGGATAGCTAATTTTATTCAACATCCATCAATTCAATGAGCCGACATCATTCCCCGATGAATATTTAAGTGCAAAGTACCTTCGATTAGGCAAAGATCAACATCATTATGTCCCAGCCAATCATCAAACCCCGAGTTTCGAAAATCCCACCCATCTCCCCCTCAAGAGTAGCCAGGAGACACCAGCCTCCATTATATGTATTAACAGAAGAAAATGATTCTTGGATCAACAATGAAAACGTATTCACTCATTCTTACTGCATCAAACAAAGTAATTCTAAGGCACAGTATAGGTGAAACAAATTACGAAGTTGACAAAGGGAAGTAAATGTGCAACAATTTAATACAAGAGGAAATCTTCAAGTGCAAGTAAAAGAAAACAGCCTTTACTTTGGCTTTTGTTCCTTCCCCTTTTCTTTTCCCAGATACTCCCTAGTGGGAAATATAAACCTTAAATTAAGTGAGCATGTCAGCTAAAATTTTGACAGGATTACAGCAAAAAAGAGCAATTAAAAGGTCTAATTGATGTTGTTGAGCACTATGGGTTAGCAGATACACATCTAACCACAAACCTTTTTCCCCACCCAAATTTTAATGTTAACTGGGAAAAAGAAGGAAACGGTAGGGCATGCAGACCAGCTGGATTGCTAGTTAGATCAGCACAGAAGGCACAAAGTTAGCATAAAAAACTGAGGTATAGCATCCACAACCATTTTTGCCCAACAGAGATCGGTATGTACTATGTAACAACATTAGTTCTACCTCATTCTCGACTATCTTCCTCTTTAGGTAGAAGTTTTGATTTTCCATTTGGTATCCACGGACACGGGCTTATATCATATTCAGAATTCAATGTCAATAGCATAAACTAAACTCTAACCTTGGTCATGTAAGATTACATTTGTTCTTGGCTAAAATAGTTTAAAGGTCAACTGAGGCGGAAAATGATTGGTTATTTAGTTTGTTATTTTTTCGGCTTAATCTAAGAACGGGCTTTTGGAAGTTTTAGAATTTATACTAAGCTATCCCTGGAACCTGGAAAATTTGGATGTAGCTTAAGCTCATTGTAGAAGCCATTATTTGACATTTTCTCTTTTCGATCCTTTCATATCTTTTCTTGTGATAGCATAACAATTATACCATAAACATATGATATTCGCAAACAAGCAGATAAGGCAATTGCTACTCTTCATTTAACTACACAAACATCGTAATAAATCCAAACCTCTGCATAATCAACAGAAATTTTCCACTACGAAACAAAGGTAAACTAAGCCCGCCATCTATGACCATTACAGCTGACTATAATCTGTACTTAAAGACTATGATTTTTGTCAATGCATCACAAACAGACGTCTTTTATCATTCTTTCTGGTATGCACATCCTACTGAAAACCAAAACATAACACACAAACCCGATTGAGGAAGAATTTACATGCACTGCAGAGCTGTAACTCGTTCGAAAATCAAGTGCCTTAGTGCCTTGATTTATCGGCATCCATCTTTATGGGCAGTTGCATTCATCCAGATGGATCTTGCCATTTCCTGAACACGAACAAATTCAATCGTCCACATGAACACAAATATTCGTCCACACAATCAAAACACGTACACACGCGTACACAAACATGTACTAGACAAATATCAGTATACGACTATATGTTATCGTACCCAGTGCACAAGGCTTCCGCTTTACGCAGGGTCTGGGAGAGGTGAATGTCGGCTAGCCTTACCCCCATTTATGGAGAGGCTGCTCCCAAATACAACTATATGTTATGTATGGAAAAATTAAGTCGACGCATTTGCCATTTACCAGTAATTATGCAGGACACAAGTTACTTGACTGCAGCTTGATAACAATCTGCCACAAAATATATTCCAACTACCAAGCTATATCTGTCCCACAAAGCATCAAAAGCATACTCCTATATGACTCTCTACAACTAAAAAGTTCAGAACTTCGCTTTCAGTAACATGTTGAAATCGATTGCAGTCCATACAAATAATGCATCAAATTAATCACCTTATTTCGCTTTCAGTAACATGTCGAAATCAATTGCAATATAATCACCTTACTTCGCTTTCAGAATTAACCATACAAATAATGCATCAAATTAATCACCTTGCAATCAAACTCAAAACTTCCTAATCGCAATACACAATTCAAAAACGCAGAAAACAAAAACAGGGTTACCTGCCAACAGTTTCTGAAACTCAGAATCCGAGTTGAGCTCCCTCTCCAAAGCTTGTACGTGGTTTCTCAGTACTCGGTAAGACAAAGGAAGCAGCTGCATTAGTAATAAAACCAGTGAGTGATTAGGAGATTAAGAATTAATATTTGAATCAGTGGGTTTTTTCAGCAAAATATTAGGATTTTTTGGGTTTTGCTTGATGTTTGAACCTTTTGCGTCGCCATGGAGGAGTTCCCGACAATGCGCTTGAACGTTTCACAAAATTCGAATTGTCAATCGTGTTGTATGACATGACAACAAAAAGTTTAAGATATTTAACGTGTTATGCTTCATAGCAATCGCATGAGTTGTTCCGTTGACAAAAATAATACCGACACATCGCGAACGACATATGAACAATAAAACGGGCTATGTAACAAAAACTAGTACTAGCTACTCGTGAAAAGTAAAACAAAACATAAAGTTTACTCGTCTTCACAAATATATATATACAAGACAAGTGCAGTTTTTCCAAGTAAAAGCCAAGCAGAGTATAAACTGCGGGCAGATAAATATACGGCTGTTATTCGACTCCAGGATCTTTCCTGGAGGTCACGGATATACCTAAACACCTCTGCACCAACTCAACATCCATTTTCGTAGTGTTTTTAGTCTCTACAATTCCTCTAAAATGGTGCAAATTCAGTGCAAATTCAGATCAAAGGGCATAAATTCGGTCGATTTCCGAATTGGAATAGTCAGAGGGCATCCATGAGTTGGAACCGCTCCTCCTCGTGTGCTTCTCCCTCTTCCTCATGGACCGTGTCCGCTTTGACTTCACCACGTAGTATGTCATGGTGCCGAGAACAGCCGCCATTATCATTCCCCCAACCATTGTTACAAGAATGGCGGCCCATTTGTGGCGCTGGCCAACCACTATGTAAGAGGAGGCTATGAATGCCACCGAAGTGCAGACTGAAGCCAGCCACATCAACTTGTTTATTATCTCCACCACCCGTTTCTCTGCCTTTGTCTCGCCTCTGACCAAGGTAATTTGGACAACCACAACAGCCAAAGACGTAAAGAGGGCAATGGCGTTGAAAATGAAGAAGATTTTGAAAGGAAGGCCCTTCACTACCACGGCAGTCCCGTCATCATGATCACCACCTGGCACAGTAAAGATAGCGGCAAAGGCAACTGTTGCGAATAGAACAGCGACCACAGTCACTGAGTTAGTGGCGTTGTTGATTCCTTCCCTGTGGAGCTTTCTAAGTTCTTTGGAAATATTGTGAACGTTTTTATTGGTTTTCTTTGTTTGTTCAAGCTGGATATGGACATCGTTCTTGATCTGAGTCACAGTCTTTCTCAGTTCATCCCTTGGTTGGTTCAGTTCATTAGCCTTCACAGCACCATAGCGATAAAGGCAACCCCTTATTTCCGAGGCTTCTTCGGAAAGTGGAAGTGCATCAGCAATGTCAAGAGCCGTTTTTGTGTCTCTGTTCAGTGCATTAACATTGCTGTCTGGGAGGAGTAACAACTCATTCACTATCTGCAAAGAAAGATACAATAATCAGTACATATAAATCTATAGCGGAGATATACAATCATGAAGGGAAGAATCATGGCTACACTAGTTCAGCTCGAGCCAAAGCTAAAACTAGTGCAGAAAATACAACAGAGGTCCCTAGAAACTGATGGGGGTTTTTAGCCAACTTGATTTTTTTTTGTTCACACCGCACTAGAAAATAAGAACTCATAGTTCATTGCAACTATTTTTTACTGTGCAAATTAACTTAGATCAGAAAAGGAAATTGCTAAAGAAGAATAGTTCGTATCATAGAAACCATGTGCACAGATCAGATGTCCGGAGCAAGGATTTTTAAAATGGCAAAAGAATAAATCTATATAAACCTTATACACTCTGGGCAGATAAATAAATTTTCATTACCTAGTACATACTAAAAGAAAATTACTTACAGCATTGACTCATGATATTTGTGGGACTAAATCCGCCGTCACTATATCAAAAGAATTTGAATTCACAGCCATATATCAAACATCAGTAAAGACAAAGGTAAAGTGAGAACCCAGACATACCTCTGCTCGCTTCTTCCTGGTGGCAATATGCAACGCTGTGTTCCCAAATTTGTCTGGAAGCATTACAATTGCGGGGTCTGCCCCTAGTAGCAATTTCACCACCTCACAGTTTGTCCCCTTTACAGCCATATGCAATGCAGTTTGCCCTTTCTTGTCAGTTCTTCGGGCCAATTGTGGATCCTTTGTAAGCAATGCCCTTACAATCTCCGCATGCCCCTGTCTTGCAGCTAGATGCAATGCATTCTTCCCGTTTGATCTAGAAATTTCCAACAAGGTAGAATCCTTCGACAGCAGTTCATCAACTACCGCTACATGCCCTTTATGAGCTGCGGATATAAGTGGGGTTGAATTTGCCGGGCCCAGTGTTTTGCTTAGCCCAGGATCATGATCTAGGAGTACCTGGACAATGGCTGCAAGAAAAGTAGGAGTATGAATGTAATGTCCAATGGCACAGAAGCATTCAAAACAGGTAGCTGCAACTTTCATTTTACTCAGATAACAATCAGAAATCATTATTTGAGGATTGCCAAGGGACCAGGAAACAAGTGACTAGTAGAGGCACCAGCCGTTTTAGGAAAACCCCTGCATTAAATTCCATGATCAACGGAAAAAAGGTATGCGCTCTCCATAAGCAGCAAATGCAAGTCCTGATTAAGCAGAAAGCTTCAAAATACGACTAATAATTCATGATTTGTTTCACAACATGAGGCAATTCCTCTCACATAACTATCGATTTAATACTACCAGTGCAGCTTAACTAATATCATCAAAATCCCGAATGCCTCACTCTCTATGAATCAATATCTCAAAAAACAGACAGCCTTCTGGTTAACGAGAAAATACAGAAAGCAGACAACACTTTTATGCAGCACATAATTGGATACTCCATCAACCAAAATGAACCAGTCTCTCAAATCATAAATCAAGAAGATCGAATACATTGTATTTCTTAGTTCGCATTATTAACAATTGAAAGAACAAGAGAAATGACATAGCCAGATCCCAACATCTCAAAGATGCAAACTTTTATCCTAATATCCTCTTACCATCTTTTACCAAACCACCCAAATTCACAAACCACACAATTAAAATTAAAATTAGACTAAGAGATTCAAAATCCAAATTAGCACAAATTAGCACAAATGCTGAAGATCATTACCATGGTGTCCTTGACTTGCAGCAGCATGCAAGGGGTCGAACCCGGACCTGTTCTTCTTCGTAACGGTCTCCTTGTTCGAATACTTCAACAGCTCCTTAACCACATCAAGGTGCCCTTTATCCGCCGCCGTGAACAAAGCCGTCTCTCCCAGCTCATTCACCTCATTCACCACCGCCGCCCGGACCTCAGCCACCTCCGTATCAAACTCCGCACCGCTTACGGTCCCCACCATCTGCGAATCGATATCGCCGAGAATCTTCTTTACGGCGGCTAGATCCGCGCGCTGAGCCGCCAAGTGAAGCTCCGTGTCGTTGTGCCGCCCCGTCACCTGCTTCACGTACTTCTTCTTCCCCGCCTGGTCAATCCGCTTTCCTGAGTTGGAAAGCACCAAAGCCGGCGCCGACGCGGTGGAAGACGGCGACGGCGAGTTGGAAAGCACTAAAGCCGGCGCTGACGCCGTGGAAGACGGAGACGGCGACGGCGATGGCTCGGCCAGAGGGTTTTGGCTCGGCTGTGCAGTCATCAGACCCTTCCCTAAATCCGTATCACCTCCTACAAGTTCGATAATAATCACAAATAATACACAAATGATCAGAAACAAAACCTGTTTGGTTCAGAGGAAAGTGAAGGAGGCAACTTTCCGGGAAAATAAAAGACGGGTTTAATCAAATCAGAGAATCTTGTTTTCTTTTTCTGAGGTATATTTTCCCGGAAAATAATCAAATCAGAGGAATTCAAAAGTAAAAAAAATCTAGAGAGAGAAAGTGTACCTTGCTCAATTGGGGACGCCATGAGAGAGAGAAAGAGAGAGTCTGAAAGTGGAGGCTGCTGGGTTGCAGAGGAGGAAAATTGGGGGAGTGAAAAGACGGAAAGGGGAAAGGATAGGAAGACAAAAAAGATGAGGAGGACTGGGAGGAAGGAGGGAGGAAATGGGAGTCGCGATTAGTGGTGGCTGTTTTGGAATTTTGCTTCCCCCAGTTTGCTACTCTCTCTCTCTCTCACTTTCCATGTCATCGCCTCAACAAACGATATTTACCTAACTTTCTCTCTGACTTGCATTTGCCGCGAAAAATTACTTCTCTTTTTCTTTTAATCTTTCGACACCATTTCCCTTGTTTTTTTCTTTTTTTTTTTAGACAGAAAGGTAATTTCACACCAACCCAAGATAGTTACAAGAAAAGAGGCCCAACAACAATATGCAGTCAAAATATGGGCCACCAAAGGAAACAAAAAGAAAAGCCCAAAAACAGACCTTTGAGCCCAACACAGAAAAAACACTGGAATAGCCTAACAACTTCCAAGCCTCTGGACCGCTACTTTCTAGCCATCTGAAACAGAGTCTCCTGCAATCAACATAAATCAAAACGTGCAGAGCCCCAAAAAAGGCTGAAAGGAAGACTCCGAACTCCTTCAACGAGCACCACATTGTTTACCACCGCACATTGAAAGAAACCAGTCAGGGGAAGGAGGTAGTGTAAACACCCGAGCCGAAGCACTACACACCTTCTTTAAGAACAGTGAAAAATCGCGTTTTAACTGCAAGAAATCGCAATGATGAAAAGCAGGTAACAAACAAGATTGCGAGATCGATGTAGGATGGAGTTGATTGCTAAGGAAAGGGAGTGGATTGGAGGTGGAAGGAAGTGGATAATGGAAGTAGGGGCTAAGCACAGTAAAAGCAGGCATAAGAGATTACAGATTAAGGGACCAATGGTTACAAATGTTTAGTCGATGGACCATTATTTCAAAGGAAAACTAATGAAAATGGTTTGAAAACTTTGAGTTTTAATGATAAGGACAAAATAAAAGGTAAAGTAAATAGTACCATGGGTTGTAAAAATGTGGTTTTTTTGTTAAAGTGAATAGTATCGTGGGTTTTTCGTTAAATCTCCCTTATTTCAATTGGGTTAAAATTAAAGGACAATTGCTACAATTTTTTTCTTTCACTTTTTACTTGCAAAATTATAGTCGGCTACATGTACAAAAATAACTTAATTAATGCGAGTATCAAACAACAATCGTCTGAGAGAACAATGACCTCTTACATACAAATAATCAAGTTTTTTTTTTTTTTTTAATTTTTACAAGATTGAATTTTCTTTTGGTTTAAATTTTAAAGAAACACTAGTCACATGGTATCTCCGATTAAAGACAGGTTTTATCATGACACTTGGTTAGGATAACGTACTCTTTATGCACAAAAATTCAAATCTGCTTTCTCGTGAATAAAAATAGTAAATGATATTGCATTGTTACAAACAGAATGAATGTTAATATTTAAATTTTATCTATGTAGTTTGAGTAAAGTTGTACAATAATTCATGTAATTCAAGTTGTCATGATGTAACTATCAGCCTTCATGCACGCGCATGAGCGCATGCAGAAGACATTTTTTTGAATTACGGCGTGTTACACGTGATTTACACGTTTCAAATGTATTTATATGCTTAAATTGACAAAAGAAAAATCAAATATTTGAAGTAAATGAATAATCTTAGATCATGCTAGAAGAAACCCCTAATAAACCAATTAAAGCAGTTGAATCCACATAATAAAATTAGTCTCTATTGAATTTATATTAAGAATAGAGAAAATAATATTTAATAAACAACTGATTGAATCACATTATTCTAGCTCATTGTGAGGCTAAGTCCATCCCCTCCTCCTTAGAATAGATAATATTATTTATTCAAAAGAAAAAAAAACAATCATTTGACAACTAATTTAATCACATTATTATCCGCATGCGAAAGACTTTTTTTATAATCGGCATTACACGCTTCTTAAGATGTTTTGAACGTGTTTAAAAATAGAGAAAATAATATTTAATGAACAACTAATTGAATCACATTATTGCTAGTCTATTGTGAGGTACTAATTATTAAAAAAAATTGTACAAAAAAATTAATTATTAAAAAAGCCACTGTTAAAATAACGAAAATACCCTTACCACATTTGATCGATTATTTTAAATTACTTTTGAAGTTTTTTATTTGATGAGTATTTTTGTCTAATCATTTGGTGAAGCTTGTGACACCAAAAAATACTGTTCGTTGGCCTTCGATTTTATATTGAAAGATTGTAGCTCATTAGTAATAGTTACCAATTCAAAGATACTGCGTCAATGATTGACTTAATTCAATACTTTTTACATATAATAAGCATGTGAGGCACATTTGAAAGTCTAAATCTTTTCTTCCCCAAAAGAAAAAGTAAATCTTTTTTCATATAAGTCGCTCATGTGCGGTTTTGTCTCAAAAAGTTAACAAATTATTGTGTACGAATTGCAACAAATAGTAAAGTGTGATGTTAAATCATGAACACCGAATTAAGATGAAAAATCCTAGTTTTTTTTTGGGTAATCATGAAAAATCCTAGTTTGTAATTTATTTTGGTAATAAGTAGTCTGAAAAATCAACAGCTAGATTCATATAAAAATTTAATGAATCTTTACAATAGTTAAATCTTGAATAAAACTCAAAGTAATGTTACACTTACCATATTATTGTATCATCTATGTAATAGAAGTAGGGTCCACCAACACATTACGATCTCATATCTATTAGGGGGATGATATAAATATATAATAAGAGTAGCATTTTCGAAGCTCATATCACTGATTAAGATGTAGCACTATAACCAGACCAAAATTCTACTTTTACCACATATTTGCACCATCATTTGGATTATCTCTAATAGAGATAAGAGTCACATGTGTTAATGGGTTCTACCTTATAGTGATAGTACAAATGATGATACAAATATATTGTAAGTGTAACATTACTCTAACTGGACCTATGGTTTAATCTGAAGCTAACAATGGGTTATGAATGGCAAGGGGCTTTAGATGCGTAACGCACTTGCAGAGTGGCAAATATGTATGAGTCCATGACTTAAGAGGATATGTGAATTTATTTCACACAAAGCAAAAAGTTAAAATATTTATCACTTAATACTACGGTTTAGTGGTATTTCTCTTCATTTGTAAGTGAGATGTCTTAGATTCAATTTTCATCAAAAATAAATTTGAACCACATTATTACTAGCCCAGTATGAGGCAAAGTCCGTTCCCTTTTAATGTAAATAATATCGTTTATTAAAAAAAAGAATATTTGGATGTTAATATTTGAAGTGACTAAGGAAGCTTCACGGGCATTAGTAATAGTTTGAGTTTGATTAATCAGTTTTGGCTTTTGCTAGACATTTTTCCATGGAATTTTTGGGTCTGTGGTGGGTCTTTCATTTCCACACTTGTCTATTGCTAGTACGAGAGGCTCCTTTCTCGGACTTATATGCATACTTTAATTTCTCTGCAATAGTTCAAATTACATGTTACGAAAAGTGAGAAGTCATGATTAAAATGAGGAAATATTATTTTCTTTTTTTTTTATTAATCCAATAAATAAAAAGTCAAAATACTAGATTATTGAAGATAAACCCTATCCGCTTGTGAAGGCTCTTCAAGAGGTCATTTTACAATGTATTGGTACACCACTATGATAGTGTTATGTGTCAATGAATTTTTTGTTCATATGTTCTTATTTCATTGGCACGTGACATTATATGGCGGTCTTATGTTATGTAAGTTGTTCTTCAACGATAATATTTTATGAAAATTTTATAATGTGTATCTTATGTATTGGAAGTTTTGACAATATAACTTATTCATAGAATGCTCAATAAAAAGTTTGACGACTAAAAATCTCGATGCATAAAGAATCCAAAAGTATACTAGAATTAGAAATCTTGACTTCTTAGGTGCGCTGCGTTTTAACACCATTCGATCAACCATGGACGCTGGGTTAAATGATACTATGACTTTTAGGTTTTAAAAAAATCAAAGGGAAATATAGTGTTGCAATTTGACGTATTTCTACTTCCATATGGATTTTTGTCAAATGTGGTACGTGACAAGCATAAATTCTCGACATTTTACTCTACTAGGATGAGAGTGTTGAGCTTTTTGAGATAAACAAAAAGCTGCACAAACATATGTAGTTTTGTTGGTAATAGTGTATGTCAACAGAAGAATTGTTTTCAAGTACTCTAGTCGCAATAAATGACTAAAGTACATTATAAAAAGGGCTAGTGAATTTTAGTGGTGCCAATTTGCGATATAACATGATGTTTCATATGGTTATTTATATTAAATTTAAGACTTTTGGTATTATTTGAGCAATTTTCCCAAAACCAATATTAGGGTGCAAGTCACAAAGTCTTAAGTGTCTTTAAAATCCTAAAAGAACACAAACCAAAAGAATATTCATTTAGAAATGATGATGTTGAAGATTTCTTCACATCTTTATTAGAGGAAGGGTTGATCGAGCTTCATGAACCTACGAGACCGGATGAGGTGGGACGGGTAGGGGGCTCAAGTAACTGAGAGCATTCATCCCGCTGTGTGTAAGTCAAGTGTCATGGAGACAGCTAAAGTAATGGAGTTTCATCACTCTCGCGCAAAATAAGAATTTACATCTTAATCAATCTCAAAACACGAACCACTTAACTCAAAATAAAATAAAAGGAATGAAATGGATAAAATTAGAGTTTTGTAACAATTAGATAAACAAAAGAAAAATCCACAATTTGTTAACTGAAATTTTAGGGTCACCCACAGAGGTGCAACCCTTCAAAAATAGGCGTATGCCACTTGTGGCGATGAGCACACGGTATTCTTTAGTAAAAGGCGAAAGAATAGTTCGCTTTGTGCTCAACGCATGGCTCCGTGGTTTTGACACTAGGATGCTGCTATCTTTTATACCCCCGGGCTAGCTGTTTCTTTTGCACTAGGCGGTGTGGGACTGACTCACCAAAACCCATACCAGCGTTTCAGCCCCTTGTCTTTGATGCCCAATGGCACCAAACCTGCTTCCATGAGCAGATGACTTGTGTGATGACATTCTTTAGATTTCCACTCTTTTGAACAATTTCGAACATCTTTCAAG